TTGAGATCTTGATTATTATGTTTCTGTGTGTAGATTTAGTTTTTTTTTGGCAGAACCGGGGATTGAACTCAGACCCTTGCGCTTGCCAGGGAAGCACTTATTCTACTGAGCCATCTCCCTGGCCCCCTAGATTTAGTTTTGATTATGGAGTTGTACATGCTTCGCTTCTGTGTATGTCAGATTCGATTGCCATTTTTGGGAAATTTTCTGCCAGTACTTCTGGCAGTAGTCTTTTTGAGTCATTTGTGTTGACTGCTGCTATTTTGTTGACACCATTCAGTCTTTATTGTTTTGATTTGCATCATCTTGCAACAGTGAAATTTTTTCCTGGTTCCTTGATCTTTTCAAGAGAGCTTTCCTTTCAGTGTCACTAGCTGCTGTGCTGTTTTCAAGGTCTGAAACTCTACCTTCAGTTTCATCCAAGTGGGTTTCCCACCTTTCAATGGAATTCCTAATGTTCTGGATATATCTGTTTTATCTTTTTCTTGCATTGTAATTCTTTACTATATTGTACATTCAGTGTTTCCATCATTTTTCTATTATCCTCTGCTTTTAATCTATGTCTTCTTAAGATGTGCTGAGCAATTGTTTGATGATTGTTACCATTTTTAAACCTAAGAAATTATTTGTGGTCTGATATCTTCCCAGCCTGATGTATTTCATTCATTTTTCTCTTTTTACATAGCATATAACAGTTCTTATTTGAATGAGATGAAGTACAAAGAGTACAATAAAGGATGTATAGAAGGAGAAAAGGGAATGAGACTCTTGAAAGCTGAAGGCATTCCAGAAGAATTTAATATCCTCAATGAATTTAAATATCCTATGTCATAAACATGAGATAAAAATTTAAAGACTTAACTATTAACTGTGTGTGGAAATACCCAGAACAGAGACATAAATGATTACATACCATGTTACAGAACCAAAATCATGGAAATCAAGGAAGGCCCAATCTCTTTATAGATGCCTGCCACAGTAGTAGATGTATATGTAAAAATGACAGTTTCACCAGATGTTCACTTTTGTTCTCAATAGTGTTCACAGCTATTGCCAAAAGCAGTCTCTTTTTTGGTTTCATTTGTTTAATAATTTTATTGAGAAATGAATAGCAATGGGACAGTTTCAAAACTATTTAGTAGGAGGGGACCTGCCCATTAGCTCAGTTGTTTAAGTGCCTGATTAAGCAAAACTGGTTAAAAGGAGAATTTCAATAATTATTACAATGCATATTGTTGTCTTCTTAGTGGTTATTCATAGTACAAGATGCAGACATGATATCCTGTCCAAACACTCTAAGTACAAATCTTTCTATTCATTGAATTAAGAGAAAGTAACTTTATATCAATTCTAACTATTTTGTATATGCAGATACAAAATGGCCCTTCATTTGTATCACCTTTTGTGTTCAGTTTTCTCAGAGATGGGTATTCCATTGCCATTTAAATATTGTAGGTGCATGAATTCAGCAAAATATTCCAATATAGTCCAGTAGTCCATAATAGTAGTGGGTTATCTGTAGGACTGGCAATTTCAGAAGTTGTTGACTTGAGCCTTTTACAGCTCAGCATATTAATATGGCTTTGGATTTCTTTCTTTCAGTTGTTATTTCTGAAATTTTAGGTATGTAACTTCCAAGTTTCCCTATGTCCTTTTCTCTTGGACTTGTTGTGGGTGGGCTGGAGGTCTGAGATTGCCTTTTACTACTTTGTATTGATGTCTTTGAAGCTCCCAAATTTCATCCAGGCTTAGTGGCAATGGTAGGCATTTGAGGTGGGTCATCAAGTTTCCTCTGATAGTGGGGTGAAGGCAAGCATACTCACCAAGGGTCTTGAAGCTGTCTGGGACTCAGCATGCCTTCTGTGATGGTGATAGTGCTGAACCGCAGCTCATGAGGCTCTCCCATCATGTGGGGCTTGGCTTGGATCAGGGAGGCTGCTGAGATCATGGGTGTGGGGATGGGCATATGTTAACAACCTCACTATAGCTGTCTTTGCCTAAACCCGGTTTCTGAGACATTGGAACATAGGTGTAGAATTCACTAAGCTGTTTGACTCAGCCTGGTTTCCATGATGGTTAGTAGGGTGTATTCTGAAGCTCTGAATGGCATCTGTGATGATGATGTGGGGGGGGGCTGTTGTAGAACTCACCAAGTCTTTCACAATAGCAGTCCATAGCTCAGTGAGGCTCCAGTGATCACTAAACTACCAACTTGAGTTGAGCTTTACTGGCTGTTCATTTGTTCTGTTCAAGCTCTGAAACACATGTTTTTAAATTTATCTGAATTTCTGTTAGATAAAACAGGGAAGAATTCTAACACTATTTAAAAGGGAAGCAAGGGAGCTGGGGAGATAGCTTGGCAGTCTAAGAACCTGCCTGGCAAGTGCAAGAACCTGAGTTAGGTCCCCAGTACTGCATGCTGAGTCCCAGACAGCTTCAAGACCCTTGGTGAGTATGCCCGCCTTCACCCCACTATCAGAGGAAACTTGATGACCTACCCCAAATGTCTACCATTGCCACTAAGCCTGGGTGAAATTTGGGAGCTTCAAAGACATCAATACAAAGTAGTTAAAGGCAATCTCAGACCTCCAGCCCACCCACAACAAGTCCAGCTATGGAAACCCAGTGTGATGTGCCAGCCACCAAAACTGGGTATGGTGGTGCACTCCTGTAATCCCAGCACTGGCAGGTTGAGAGAAGAGATTCACTATGAGTCCAAGCTGCTTAGGAAGACGCTGTTCCAAATAAATAAATAAAAATTGAAGAGGGAGGTAGCTTATATGTTCCCTCACAACAGAGATTTAGCTCTTCTCTACAAGGGTGAGATTTCCTGACAACATGAGGCCAGTTCAAAAATAAAGAAAAATCTCATCATTGTGATATAATTATTATTCAACATTGTATTTATGAATCATTATATCTCCCTCCAGGGCTGTATGACAGTAGAAGAGTACTTGCCCCGCATCTATGAGTTGCTGCAGAACAACTTCCAGTACCAGCCTCATGATAAAAAATTATCAGACACCCAGTGACTTAAGCTACAGAGATTTATCATTTCTCAATCCTGGAATCCTTAGTCATGGTTGTAATTTATTAAGTGCAGGCTCCAGAACACTAATTCCAATTTGCAGACACTACTCTGATGACCTCATCTAAATGTAGTTACATCTTCAGGACTCAACCTCTTGTACCAAGACATCTCCAGGTTGGACAGATCTGGTGTCAGTTCATCTGGTGACATGAATTTTAGTGGAACACAATTTTTTTTTAATTTTTAAATTTTTTTGGAACACAATACTTTTAATGTTTTTATATTTTTAAGGAGAATAAAAAAATAGTAAAAAACTTTACAAATGATACAGAATTTCACTAAACAAAACAATAGGAAATCAACAATAGTTGTTATATTAAATGCCATCTTCAAATTAGTTGTTTAAGTTACTGTATATAAACACGCAAAATTGCTATAAAAGTTATGACATTAAAAAGGACAAAATTTAAGCATTAACTGTTTCAAAGTTATAACATTAAAAAGTACAAAAAATTAAGCATTAACTGTTTCATTCAATAGATCAGCAGAAATCAGCAATAAAGTTATTCAAGCTATCCTGTAAATATACATAAATATATCTTTTTTCATTCCCTTTTTCTTCCTTTTGTCCTTTTGTAGCTACCTAAGACCATGAATTTTAAAATATGCTGAAATATGGAGATAACGGTTATCTGTTTAAGAATAGAGAGACTTCATGGGATCATGATTATCTCTCCATTTTAACCAAACTGGTTTTACTTTCTTTTTCCCTTTTTAAAAACAAAAATGCTGTATAATTATCCAAACTATCATATATAATATATATATATATATATTCTATCATATATATGATAGTATCATATGTGATATATAAGACAGTTTGGAGATATATATATATCTCCTATCCCCTTCTTTTGTCCTTTTTTTTAACCCAGTTTTTATTTTCCATTGATCAAAGTCTTTCAGTATGTATTTGTACCTTTCAGATTCTGTTTGCTTTTTCAGGTTTTCAGGCTAGCAAGATGTTTGCACATGCAAGTCTGATTTATTTCACTTACCAATAGTCTCTAGTTGCATGCATTTATCTACAAAAGCCTCAAATTGATATTTTTTATAGCTGAGTAATACTCTATTGTATAAAAATATATCTTTTGAAAAGACCAGTTAATGCTTAAATTTTTTTCTTTTTAATTTCTTACAACTTTTTTTGTTGTTTTGTTAACCAATTTTGCACTTCTATGTCTGATAACCTAATCAACTAATTTGAAGATAACATCATTACAGCAATCATTGTATTGTTGAATTCCTATTACTTTGTTTAGTGAAATGTTGCATGATTTCAAATGCTTTTTTTTTTATTATTTTGATTTCTTCTTCTTCTTCTTCTTCTTCTTCTTCTTCTTCTTCTTCTTCTTCTTCTTCTTCTTCTTCTTCTTCTTCTTCTTCTTCTTCTTCTTCCTC